AAATAAACTATAACTATGTGGAATGTTAAGGTTGTAATCTTAGAAATATCGTAAATCCAAAAAGATTACATATATCATTGTAGGATATGTGCCAAAATGACAGAACAAAATATAGTTTAGTTACTCAGACATACATGGCTCAACTATTAAAGAAACACAGCAGGGGCACCTGAATGGCTCCGTCCGTTAAGTCAGGTCATGATCTTGCAGTTCGTGAGTTCGAGCCTGGCGTCAGGCTCTGGAGCCTGCTTCAGATTGTCTCCTTCTCTCTGCCCCTCCCTCACTCGCGCTCTGTCTCTGGGTCTCAAAAATGAATAAACATTAAAAAAAAATTTAAGAAATATGGCAAAGAGAAATACACACCCATGAAATTGGAGAAGCAAGGGGATACAACAGTGGACAAGTAATTAAGTTTTGGTAATATGCTTTTTCCTGGGTTGTGTGGGAGGTTTACCCTATTATTTTCCTCTTACTTTTTATGCATTATCGATATTCTTTATGTGTATCAAGTACATTTTTTAAATGTTTAAAATTGAAGAGCAAAGTTGTTACTAATGTTTAGATTTCATCTTTCTTCCGCTTAATATAATGGATTCAAATTTGGATACTCAACACCAGTAACACATTTCTGACCTAATATCGAAGCCAGAAGGAAAACGATTATGTCCTGGGCCAGGACTGTAAACATCAGTACAGAAGATCTATTTCATATCCCACTATGTCTGCAGTGAACTGACATGGTTTCTCATAGAAGACGGTACTCAGGAAGTGTTGGCTGAATGAATGAATAAGGTATACAAAAGGTTTACAACTTGCACAGTCCATTACTGAATATTCTGAAGTTGAAATAAGCAACTTATGTTCAAGATGTACAGAAATTTTGAACTGACGCCAGGTTGTTCCAAAGCCATTCACTACATTCAGGTGTTTGGGCCCTCGTTTCAAATTCCTTATGCCAACTATTTGCAGGGAATATTAAAAAGAGAAAAATGGAAATTCTGAGGCATATGGAGAAAGGAGGAAAGGGTTCAAGCGCAACTGATTCTTTTGGAGCAATTGAAAAAAAAACCTAAAATTTAAAGATCCCAATTTTTTAGAATCATGGCCTTCAAATGTTTTTGACTATGTACCCCATCAGTAAAACAGTTTTGGGCATATGCTCAAACATTTATACGTTTATTTACTTATTTTATAAAGTTTATGCCACATGCAGAAAAAATATGATTTCCCAAATGAGGATTTTTTATTTTTTTCAACGTTTTTTTTTTGTTTTTTTGTTTTTTTTTTTTTATTTTTGGGACAGAGAGAGACAGAGCATGAACGGGGGAGGGGCAGAGAGAGAGGGAGACACAGAATCGGAAACAGGCTCCAGGCTCCGAGCCATCAGCCCAGAGCCTGACGCGGGGCTCGAACTCACGGACCGCGAGATCGTGACCTGGCTGAAGTCGGACGCTTAACCGACTGCGCCACCCAGGCGCCCCGAGGATTTTTTAATCAACATAGAGTTTGGAGTCAGCCAGGAAAAATCCCCTAGTTATCATTAAGTTGAATGAAACCCTGCAAATATAAAATTGACTTTAAACAATGAAAACAAACAAGGAAGGAAGAAGGAAAAGAAAAACATCTGAAATTGTCTTCGTATGTTGGGAAGTATTTTTGAACATCTTGCTAATGGGGATGACCTCATCATTGGCTAATGTTTCCACGAACAATACACACTTAGGGAGTGGCTTATTGTTAATAGTAGTTATCATTTGGGACTTTAAAATAGTCTTTAAAATTCGGCACTTTTTGACTTCTCAGATCCAGAGATCCAGTTGTTGGTTTTTTTTTAATCTCGTAGTTTCTATTGGGAGATATCTGCTCTACCATTTTCTCATTGCTACTCGTGTCCACATTAACTAGTAGTCTTCAATCTGCTGCTTCTTTGAAGGAATCTTTTAAAGCCACTTGGCATTTTGGGGTGCCTGGGTGGCTCAGCTGGTTAAGCGACTGACTCTTGATTTTTGGCTCAGGTCCTGATCTCATAGTTCCTGAGATGGAGCCTTGCATGAGGCTCCGTGCCTTCAGTGCATAGCCTGCTGGGATTCTCTCTCTCCTCTCTCTGCCTCTTCCCTGCTCACACACTCTCACTCTCTCTCAAATAAACATTTATTTTTTTTTACATTAAAACATTTTTTTTTTTTTTTTTACATTTAACTTTGGGAATCAGAGAGAGACAGAGTACCAGCAGCAGAGGGACAGAAAGAGAGCGAGACACAGAATCCAAAGCAGGCTCCAGGCTCTGAGCTGTCAGCACAGAGCCCGATGAGGGGCTCAAACCCACGAACTGTGAGATCACGACCTGAGCTGAAGTCGGACGCTTAACCGACTGAGCCACCCAGGCGCCCCTCAAATAAGTAAACATTTAAAAACAAAAAGCCACTTGGCATTTTGGTGAAGGTTAATTTAGTTAAAACCTGGATAATAGACATCTTAACCCAGCACATGTGTGCTTCAGTACATCACAATATGCCTAAGCGAACCAACCAGCGAAGGAAGTTTTCACATATGAACCCACTCTCCTCTCTCAGAAGACTTGAGACCACCTGATATTCGGTGGTTGAAAGCACGTGTGCTTTATAGATTGAAAAACCAACTTTTAATATGACTTTATATTTTTAAGTACAAATAGAAAGCATAGCATTTCTTCGTAAATACCGGCGGGTCCTCTTGCACACCCTCTGTGGTGTACTATCTCACTCTGGAAAGCACTTAGAGAATGCAATGTCCTCTCTACAACTACATCAAAGCATTCACCAGCTAACACTTCTGTTGATTCAGTATACAGAAAAGTCAGAGTAGCATATGACGTGGTTCCCCACAGTAACTCCCTGGCCTCTCCAACGCTGGGCTTTACGGCCCAGTCTGGCAACCACTGAACAAGCTTTATAGAAGGGAAACTTATTTGTCCTATGGCCAGGAAGCAAAACTAGAAGCTAGGTAAGTAAGGAGATAATGAAAGTGACACAGATATTCCAAATGCTGGGTGGGAAATCAAACTCTAACAGGGGTGCTCTGTTTCAGCATGTTTTTCGTGAACATCATGTCATGATCACGCCAATCCTGGCTAAATATAGTCGCTTGATTTACATCAACACGCCAGCTGTTACGTGTTATTCTGCTATCTTTTGTCAAATAAGAGGAATTACAGTATTTTTTTAATCAGCTGGGGGGAAAGAGAGAGAGAGAAGGAAACATGGAGAGCTTTGGCATAGAATATGTTTTCCAATTAAGTAGTAAGGATTATGGTTTGATTTGTTTTTAATATTGAGTTTATACAAGTACTTTCTAGTTTGATCTTCCCAACATAAACATATTTATCTTTATTTACTTGAGATGTGGTTTTTCTAACCTATTGAGATTCCCTATCAAAATATTTTTAAAATAAATACAATTTAAATCCAAAAATCTAACCTAGTCAAAACTAGATAGCTGCAAAAGACACGGCAAGACTAACACAGACGATCTTTGAAAAAACAAAATTCAGTGGTTTCAGAGGAGAGTTAGAGCATAGTTAAATATTTATGGCTGAGTTGAAACATCTTGTCTTTCAGGGAGGGACAAAGCAGAGATGCTGGAAAAAAGGTCCATCAGAGGTCTGTTTTTGAGAACATATTACAATTGTTTGGATATACTAATTCTTCCAGTAACAAGTTTTAGATTATTAGCAGCTAACAGCAGACGAAACAGGTTTATAAAAAGTTAATGGTCAGAAATAACAGAACTCTTGTGAAATATATTTGCAAGTAACATTCATGAAAACTCCAGAACTTGAATATATGCCAGTTGTTTTCATGTGTTAAATCTCTAAAACCAGAATAACGCAAAATTATACTCAACAAACTAGACTGTACTTCAGATTTTTAGCGCAGATTTATTTTAAAATTTCGGAGTAGTGGGAAAGCCATTTTTCATACCCGGGCACAAATACACTAGTTAAAAATTTACTGTTTCCAAAATATGCAGGAAACAAAGTAGTGTATTCTGACAAATAATACAATGAGGCCAATTTACCTTCGTCTTAGACTCTAAGGCATAGTTACTTCTAGATGTCACTTAGCCACATCATAAATGTCTGCCTTGAACAGTCAAATTTTCCAAAGAAGCCGAACAACTTTCATGGGTGGGGCAAGAGGCTTGAGAAGGAACAGGATTCATTTTGGCTTGCTCCAGCCTTGGAAAAAAATATTTAGTACCACACCCTCAACAAAGGCCTAACACAGCAACTTGTGATGTCAAATCAATCCATTTTGGTCTACTGTGACGGTCCTCTAAGGAACTAAAATAAGGCGAAATTAAAAAGTAAGTTCGGCGGCGGCGGGGCTTGGGGGCGCCTAAAAGAGAAAGGTAGGAACCATCAAGAAAATGTCCCTAATTTTCAATCTTCTCTTCGACCTAAAAGAATATCTTATTTATCCACCGATAAACCGTTTTTTTTTGTTTGTTTTTTTTTGTTTTTTATTCTTTCCACCTGATCAGGCTTCCGTGCCCGCCTTAGTTGTTAACCACCACTTTCTGGAGCAGACCATTACTCAGCACGAAGGTGGCCACGAGCACCTTCTATAGCCAGGGGTGGGGGGCAGCGGGGTCTTCGGGGAGGCGGCGGCAAGAGGAACATCAATCAGCACCCAGCGCTCAGGTGACAGCGGCCCTCCCCACGCCCTCCGAGTCCTCCTCTTTCCAGGACCCACACCTGGACGTGGGAACGCTAAAGCACAAGCCGACCTGCGCTGCTCCCCAGGACGGCCGAAAGCCCAAGGGCAGGCTCGGGCTAGGAATCCCGCGGGTTGGGAGGAGGCCGCGGGGACCCTACGTTCACCTCCTGGACGCCCCCACCCCCGGCGCACGCCCACCTCCCAGCCCCTCTACCCAACTTCAGCCCTCTGCCCTGCCAGCCCGCTCCGCGCTCCGCTGCCCTAGCCCCCCACAGCCGGCCCGCCTCCTCCCGACCCCCTTACCTTTCCGTTCTTGGGGCTGCCGTTAAGGAACAGGGTCACCCGCCTCATCGCGCTGCCCCCACTGGGTCCTGAGTGAGTCGCCACCCTCCCACCTGGCTCTCCTCCCACCTTCTTCTTCTCCCGCCCTACCCCTCCCTCCACCCACTCGGACTCTCCTCCCTTCGCCACCTTCCTTCTCTTACGGAGACACACTCGCAAGCACTCTCGGTCACACACCCCAGGGTTGGCCGGTCCTCCTTCCCACCCCGCCCCTGGGCTCCTCAGTCAGCCTGGGACCCTTCCCCCACCTTTCCCAGACTGACTCTAAGCTCCACCAATCAGGAGGCAGCGCCGGCCAGAACTCAACCAATCATCGCCCTTCATTGGGTGGGCTCATACTAACCCAGCCCAGGTGGAGGGAGGGAAGAGAGGTTGCAGTCTGGCAGACGGGAAGGGTTATCAGCCAATCAGCTGAACCTGAAGCCGAACGGCGGCTCAAAGCGTTACTGAGCAGGCGCAAACCCAACACCAGGTAGAGCTCATCTGCATAGGGAGGCGGGGTTTGAAGGAAAGAGGTGGAGCACTAGCAGCGACCCCTCCAAGTAGCACCACCCCCCCTCAACTCGCTCAAACCACGGGCGAAACGGCTGGCGTCGGGACTGAGTGATTGGGTAAGGGCCGCCCGTCCTTCTGCCAGGATTGGTCCAACGATTCTTTTCGAAGTTTGCAGTATCCAATTGGAAAATGGGGGGCGGAGCCAGCACTAACCGAGGGGTTCCTCCGCGAGACGGTCACGCAATGTAGTCCCTGCGGATACAGGTTAGGCGCCGGTGTCTCTCGTCGATGCGTCACCCGCGGCTAGTGGTGGCTTCTCTCCAGCTCACGAAGCCGCTCTTGGTCCTGGGACGGCGAGGACGAGGCCTGGCAGATCGAGGTACGCGTGGACACGTGCGGGCAGCGGCGGCGTAGAGATTCGCGGAGTAACGCCAGTGCCGGGAGGCGGGGCCAGCGGTTTGAATCGGGCGGCGGGCGGCGGGTGCGGCCTGGCGGTGGAGAGGGTAGGGAGTGCGCCCTTGGGTGTCGGAGTGCTGGCGCCCTGGACAAGTCGGCCCCCGGCGACCCGCTTGGTGGCCGGTAGTTGCCCTCTCGAGCGAACCGTCAACACCTGCAAGACACTCACCTGCGGTAGAGCGTTTCAAATAAACCCATTGGGAGAGCCGATCTGCGGGAGTGAGAGGTAGGGCAAGGAGCCTGGTGCAGCAGAGCTGTTTTTGGGGCGTGCTTTTCAGAAGCGTGTTGTACTTCTGCTCTGGAGATAGTGGTCCTGTGTCCACTCCTGTGACCTGAGCCGGGTCACCCGTGTGCTTTCTAAAATTCAGATTTCCTGGAACCCAGCCGGACCTACTTAATTAGAATTTCTGGGAATCTGCAAAGCTGTGTCTTTTAACAAGGTACCCAGATGTTGCAGATGTTTGCCAAGGTTGAAAAGCCATGGCTTCTAGTGTGGGATCTGTTGGTTTCCTCCCCAACAGCGGTTTCCTCCTTTGCTCTTTTTAAAAGCTCTCAAAATACGTTCTTGGCATCTAGTTTCATGCCTGTATAGGTTGCATTAAAATTCAGTCTTGAATGAGGATCTTGATTGAGTCACGTTAATATTGGGCATGGGGTTATTTTTCTCTTCTCTCTCTTTTTTTTAGATGGATACCAACTCAAAAGACAGCGAACCTCTTGAAATCAACGAGTCTGCTATTCCTGGTGCTGGTATGTAGTGATCTGTTGCCTCCTTGTGAAACGTAAGGGTTAGGTATTTGTTTTCATCATATTTTGCCCTCACAATATGTTGTCTGTTTCAGAAAGTACCTCTTTAATTTTGGGAAATGGGAAGCTTGTAACTCCTCACAAGCATGCGCCTGAAGGGACTCCTAATGGTTGCACACCAGATACTTTTAAGTCACCCTTGGACTTTTCCACAGTAACAGTAGAGCAACTGGGAATTACACCTGAAAGCTTTGTAAAGAACTCTTCAGGTAAGAGAAGTTGTCATTGTATTGCAGTGCTTTTAAAGCTTAAAAATAACTTACATAAGTTAGTTTTGTTCATCTTCTCTATGTCATTACTTTGACTCTGCAAATGTTCAATTAGGAAGATTTCTGTGAAGATGCACAGTGCATTTAGCATATTAGAATATCAGAGTCCCAGGGCATCCAGCTTGATAATGTTCAGAAGTGTGCTCTGTGCTCAAACTGGAAAATATGTCTGTGAACACTATGTGACTGACACATGGGATATAGGAATACATAGACTACGGTAATAAATTTTATGCTCATGCATGGCAAAAATAAGAGAATGTTGAAGAGTAATTAAGAAAGATTGGGGAGGGGCGCCTGGGTGGCGCAGTCGGTTAAGCGTCCGACTTCAGCCAGGTCACGATCTCGCGCTCTGTGAGTTCGAGCCCCGCGTCGGGCTCTGGGCTGATGGCTCAGAGCCTGGAGCCTGTTTCCAATTCTGTGTCTCCCTCTCTCTCTGCCCCTCCCCCGTTCATGCTCTGTCTCTCTCTGTCCCAAAAATAAATAAATGTTGAAAAAAAAAAAAATTTAAAAAAAAAAAAAAAGAAACATTGGGGAATGCCTCTTTCAAAAGCACAAACAGAAAATTGACTCGGGCTAATCTTGTAGGAGTAGAAATGAAATTCACCAGTGGAGTCTGATTTTGCTGGAGATGAAATAAATACGGAAATGGGATTAGATTGGAAAACGGCGTTTAGAAATGGAAGGTAGCAGAAGACTGGAAAGTCACAGGGCACTAAGCTAGGTCATACATGATTTAGACAAGATCACGGTAACATGCCTTTCTATATTCCTTTCTTAACATTATTCATAGGCCTTAAAAACAACAACAACAACAACAAAACTAGATTTATTTTGTCCTCTTCAGTATGTGGCCAGAATTCAGAGTAGTGTGTACAAGGTAGATAGGTGTCTCCGAGAAATAAATCATCTTGAAGAAGTGGGAATGTGAGAGTACGTTGGCCTAAGTGGAGAACTTTCCTTTCAGTTCTTGGGGAGAAGACTGACTAATTCCAGAAAATGAGAAGTTCTTAGTCCAGAGCAAGCCATCACCCGTCCCTGTGTGCAGGAAATCTGAAACAAAAATGACAACTATTAAAATGTGTTCACATATTCATTCCAGAGCTGTCTAATAGTGCTTTCTATGTGTCAGACACTTTGGGAAGTGTGGAATAAGTCAGTAGACAAAACCAGATCCCCATCCAACTGCTTGAGTGTGAATAATTTCGTCTATCCTTATCTATTTAGATTTTTGTAATGTGTTTATCTTGCTCTCTTAGGCTGCTATATCACAGGGAATTCAGTACATGATTACTGATGATTGCCTTGTTCTGTTCCAATTTTAATGAGTTTTCTTTATAGGAAAGTCACCATCCTCCCTGAAAAAATCGAGACGACGCTCTACGATTGGTGCTCGGGGCTCCCCTGAAACAAACCATCTTATTCGTTTCATTGCTCAGCAGCGGAATTTAAAGAACGTGGAGAAATCTTTGACACAGAATTCCCCTTTTCTGGTATGATATTCTTCCAAGTTCTGTCATGAGTTCTTCCAGGGAGAATGTTTTGCTCTGTTACAAAGCTTTTGCACAGTGTTTCTACCTTGTGCGTCTCATCTCTTTTGGGTCTGGGGAGATAATGTTTGTCTGTGTCTTATAGAGATCATCCAGTTAACATTGATGGGGATGTTGAACATGGGCACATCAAGAATTAGGTTAGAAACGGGTAGAAATGGTTTTCTAGGTGAGCTGTTTTATTTTGCAGATTTTTGCTCCCCAGTTAATGTTCTTCTCTATAATGAGGCGAGGCAGTATTTTTCAAGCTTTTTTATTTAATACTTTCTAAGTGTCTAATTTTTTTTGATCACTGCATATTGGCATGTAGGGGTAAGAGTTCCCCCCCCCCCCCCGGGACAAAATATATTGGGGATAACCTTGTGAAAGGGAGAGATTTATTTGTCTGCTGATGGGGAAGGATATAGATATTTTTGCACATTTTTAGCAGAATAATGTATATTTCTAAAAAGTGAAATAACGTACAAGAGGTACTATGAAAGACACGGTTAAGGTTTACCCTTCTGGAAGGACAACTACTTGTCTCTTTTGGTACTGGCCTGCTTTTAAAATGTACGTACATTACCGCTTGTTTATTTTTCAGTGTTTGGACACTATATATGCGTGAGGCTATGTAGCCCGGTGGTTCTCAGAGATTATCTGCAGATCCCTGGGGATCCCTGAGTCCCATTCAAGAGGTCAAAGGTGTTAAAACATTTTTTTGTGATAGCGGTGAGGTGTTTGCCTTTTTCCACTAGGTTGATGTTTGTGCTCACAGTGCAAGAGCAACGGTGGGTCAAATTGATGGCACCAAGCTGTCATTTTAGTCCATCCTGCTAAGCATTCATAGGAGGCGATGATGCCAGGTTCGCTTAATATCCGTGATGATGCAGTGAACGTTATGTTTATTTTTTACTTTATTTATTTATTTTTTAATTTACATCCGAATTAGCATATAGTGCAACAATGATTTCAGGAGTAGTTTCCTTAGTGCCCCTCACCCATTTAGCCCATCCCCCCTCCCACAACCCCTCCAGCAACCCTCTGTTTGTTCTCCAGATTTAAGAGTCTCTTCTGTTTTGTTCCCCTCCCTGTTTTTATATTATTTTTGCTTCCCTTCCCTTATCTTCATCTGTTCTGTGTCTTAAAGTCCTCATATGAGTCAAGTCATATGATACTTGTCTTTCTCTGACTTCGCTTAGCATAATACCCTCTAGTTCCATCCACGCAGTTGCAAATGGCAACACTTAATTCTTTTTGATTGCCGAGTAATACTCCATTGTATATATATACCACTTCTTTTTTTATCCATTCATCCATTGATGGACATTTGGGCTCTTTCCATTCTTTGGCTATTGTTGATAGTGCTGCTATAAACATCGTGGTGCATGTGTCCCTTCAAAACAGCACACCTGTATCCCATGGATAAATACCTAGTAGTGCAGTTGCTGGGTCGTAGGGTAGTTCTATTTTTAGTTTTTTGAGGCCCCTCGATACTGTTTTCCAGAGTGGCTGCACCAGTTGGCATTGCCACCAACAATGCAAAAGAGATCCTTTCTCCACACCCTCGCCAATATCTGTTGTTGCCTGAGTTGTTAATGTTAGTCATTCTGACAGGTGTGAGGTTGTATCTCATGGTGGTTTTCATTTGTATTTCCCTGATGATGGGTGATGTTGAGCATCTTTTCATGTGTCGGCCATCTGGATGTCTTTGGAGAAGTGTCTATTCATGTCTTTTGCCCATTTCTTCACTGGATTCTTTGTTTTTTGGGTGTTGAGTTTGATAAGTTCTCTATAGATTTTGGATACTAACCCTTTATCTGATGTGTCGCTTGCAAATATCTTCTCCCATTCTGTCTGTTTCCTTTTAGTTTTGCTGATTGTTTCCTTGGCTGTGCAGAAGCTTTTTATTTTGATGAGGTCCCAATAGTTCATTTTTGCTTTTATTTCCCTTGCTTCCGCCGACATGTTGAGTAAGAAGTTGCTGCGGCCAAGATCAAAGAGGTTTTTGCCTGCTTTCTCCTCGAGGATTTTGATGACTTCCTGTCTTACGTTGAGGTCTTTCATCCATTTGGAGTTTATTTTTGTGTATGGTGTGAGAAAGTGGCCCAGGTTCATTCTTCTGCATGTCACCATCCAGTTTTCCCAGCACCACTTGCTGAAGAGACAATCTTTATTCCATTGGATATTCTTTCCTGCTTTGTCAAAGATTAGTTGGCCATACGTTTGTGGGTCCATTTCTGGGTTCTCTATTCTGTTCCATTGAGCTGAGTGTCTATTTTTGTGCCATATTTTTTATTTTCTTAATGATTACTTTTGAGAGAAAGGGAGAGTGAGCTGGGGAGGGGCAGAGAGCAGAGACAGAACATGAAGCAGGCTCCAGGCTCTGAGCTGTCAGCACATAGCCCGACGTAGGGGCTCAAACCCACAAATCGTGAGATCATGACCTGAGCCGAAGTTGGATGCTTACCCTACTGAGCCACCCAGGTGCCCCGAAAACTACAAGTTTTGTTACTTCTCCACCCTTGAGTATTCTGTGTGCTGAAATGGGAAGAATGCGTCAAGCACTTCCAAAGGACATACAGAAGTTTGGTGGATGTTTTGAAAAAGCTCGCATATGTAATTGTTTTGAGCTAGGAGCTGAACTCAGACTGCTTTTTTTATGGTCTATCATCTTTACTTGAAAAGAATGCCTGACTGACATCATGGTTCGTTAGACTTGGGAAGGTGAACATTTTCTCAAAAATGAACAGCAAACCTGCCACTTCAAGGAAAAGCTGAAATGTTTCTTACTGATGAAAAACTAGTGTTTTCTGGAGAAAATGAGAATTTTGGAAAACTTACATTCAGCATCATGAGCTTGAGAACTTCCCAGTAGCTACACTTTTCTGATAAGATCAGTGGGGATATTAATGAATGTGAGTTTTTGACATTGAATAATAAAAGGTGTTAACATTTGGAAGATCTGCATAACTAAGTGAACCGGTGTTTTCCTCATGACCAGTGCATGCAAAATATACCCTCAAATAGCAAGAGACTCACAGATTTTAACATAACCAGACTATGAAAATTTCATTGATAGGACTTCATATTTGACATTGCAACTAACCTTTAGGAAATCTGTGTTGAGTTTTGTGTTGCATTAAAGGAGGAATAGCCACAATTCTGAAAAGGCTTAAAATACTCGATCTTTGATATGCACTTGAACTGAGAGTCTTTGGTGTTCTCAGTTTTTAAGAGAGTTCTGAGAACTGTTCGGGTAGATACGAACGTGGACTGTGGAGCTATTTGCTGAGGTTTGATTCTTTGCTTTATTATTAATTTGCTTTGTTTGCTTTATTATTTTGCTTTATTTGCTTTATTATTAATTATAATTAATTATGTAACTGGCAAGTTACCTAATTTTTTTTTCTTTAAGATTTTATTTTTAAGTAATCTCTACACCCAATATGGGGCTCAAACACACAACCTGAGCTCAAAAGCCACATGTTCTACGTGACTGAGCCAGCCAGGTGCCCCAAGTTACTTACTTTGTCTCAGTTTTCTCACACATAAAATGGGGGTGATAATAGTAAGGTTTTTAATGAGGATGAGTAAATTAATAATGAAGTACTTAGAACTGTGCCTGGAACATGGCATGCTTTAGATTTACTATCATTGTAGTTCGTTCTGTGAAAAATGAGGATTTTGCTCTCTTACACATCCTAGCCATAGCTGTCCTAACACTGTCTCCTTTCTCCAGCCTTCCAGTACGACTCTAATTTTTATTGAAATTAGACTTTAATGTGCATTATTTAACCATGTAGACATAGTTCACAAACTGCTGTGTAGTATGTTATGGCTCTGTTTCTTACACAATTTTTGTTTTTCCCCTAGTTAATAAGTACTTTTTGTTACTTTTTGGTTTAGTCTTAAGTTATTACCTAATCTCATCCCCAAACTTTGACAGATCTGTGAACCTTAGAGTCTGTGGGTTCTTTTCTGTGTTCCTTGGTGTCCTCTGTCTCCTGTGGGCTTGGTTGTCATCTGGATCTGCTGGACAGCTGTCACTTTGTGACTTGCTTTCACCATCCTTAGTGATTTCCTTTTCCTCTTCTGTTTGGATTTTCCTTGACCTTGTATCTTTCTCTTTTCTTGGTTTACTGTCTCATTTTTCTGGAGCCTCAGCATATCTAATTAAGTTTATTCGACCAGCATGTTTGGATTATGGTTTTTGTCTTAGTAGAGAAATCCAGGTGACACGTATCTTCCATGAAAATTTTGAAGGCGTTGCTCCACTGTATGTTAGCTTACAGAGTTGAAGAATCCTATTCATCTACTCATTCAACACGTATTTTGATTTTCTGTCTTTTGTGTGGCCTGCTTTTTCATTTGAAGATCTGTTCTTGGTATTAAAATTTCCAGATGGACTATCTTTCATTGTGGACTTGGTGTTTTTTTGATGTTTTCTTCCTCTTCCCCTTGCAGGCTCTCTCTTCCTCCAGCTTCCATTTTGCTCCCTGATTAGTTCAGTCTCCTGTCTGATGCCCAGGTCTTCAGATGTCTGATGATTCTCGAGACTCCATTCATGTTTAAAAGTGACACACTTTAGGGCACCTGGGGGGCTCAATCAGTTGAGAGTCTGACTTGGCCTCAGGTCATGATCACACAGCTCGTGAGCTCAAGCCTCGCATCCGGCTCTGCTGACAACTCAGACCCTGGAGCCTGCTTCGGATTCTGTGTCTCCCACTTTCTCTGCCCCTTCACCCACCACTCGTGCGTGCTCTCTCTCTCACTCTCTCTCAAAAATAAATAAACATTAAAAAAAAAAAAAATAAAAGTGACACACTTTTAAAACCTGACTGGGAGCTCAGTGCGCGTGGTCTGGATTTGTTAGCTGGTGAATTTCTGTGTAGACATGGCCACTTTTTCATTGGAGGAACTCCCAAGCATCAGAATCCTCTGGCTCTTGGCAGATCTGTCTT